GCCGGAACTGTCCCAGAAGGCCTGTTTGTAACATGAATTCGGCCACGTAGCGGGTGGCCTGCGAGTGCGATACAATTGCATCGTAATCCGTCGAATCCCCAAGATCGGTCATCCGGATCTTGTCAAGGAGGGTCTTCCTCAGATCAGCGTACAACGGGCACTGTATTAAGATGTGTCTCGGTGTCTGAGACCCCTCGCTGCAGTAGCACTGATCTGATTCGACCGCCTTGATTTTATACAAGAAGTGGTTCAGTGCAATGCGCATTGACCGCATCTGAATCAGAATCGAGGTGTACGGTTTTGATAGAGAATCAAAGAGCCGAAGCACCCTCTTGTCTGGAACTTTGACCAACCGCTGGTTCGGTTTACCAGTTCGCTCCTTTGCCCACTCTTGTGCCCATCTCTCCTTAATCCGTCGCCGCACTCGACGTTTCGCGGTCGTTGCTAGAAGGACTCGACCAGCGGACCCCTCGGGGTAGGGTTGTTCCGCTCCGTTCTCCACTCCACCTCCCGTTGCCGCCAACTTTGCTTCAACGTCGGCAGTCTCATTACCAGGAACGCCCACGTGTGCGGGGATCCAACGGATCTCGATGGGAATCTGATCGAACGTGGGCGTTTGCGATCGGAGGGCCCGAACGTGGTCGTATATGGCTTGGAGCACGAACTAGCCTGACGATCGCTTAGGATTTTGCACCGCCTGGATGGCGGCCTAGCAGTCGGAGAAAACGATGAGCCTTATGTTATTTTGATGTTGGTTGACGAACCTGGCGATAGCCATTTCAATGCCGTTGAGCTCGGCAACGTACACTGTGGATTCGTCGGTTGTTCCAAGGTGCCGTCGGTCTAAAATACCCTCACGCGGGGCAACGGCCGAGGCACCTACCATGCCCTCGTACCTACTACCATCTGTGAAGAACAGGATCGTTCGGGGGTAATCCTATACGACTGTCGGGGTGCAGTCTGAGAGGGCCTATTAGAATAGAGACTCCGTCTCAATCTTGTCATGCGAGGCTCGCGCTGCCTCTGCATCCTGGTTAATAACGCATGGGATCCGTGCCTCCCATGGCGCTAGAACAAACGCTTTACGTGATTCCCACACGCATCCTCTTGGGTCGAGGATGCCGTCTTTCTTCTATCGGAGGGCTTCTAGAGGGCTCCACCCCCCTTTCCGGATCTCCTGGGGTGATCGTGGTTGCTGTCGACGTAGACACTCTGGCTGGGCCCACATAGCACCTGTCTGGATTCGTATTGCTGATTCCTGAATGACTTGGTCCATAAGTAGGTGAATTAGCGTTAAGAAGAGCTCGACGTTAAGAGCTGCCGCACTGGTCGATTTAAATGCACCACTGATGAGAATTGCCGCACGTCGTTGGATCTTGGTGAATTCGTTGATGGTGCGTCGTAGTTCACCGGCTGGCATGGCCCTCGCAGCAGGACAGTGCCAAGCAGATATCCCGTAGAGCATCTGCGGCACCACTACTGCCTGGTAAACCTTGCGCATTGCTGATAGTGAGGCACCCCATACTGATCCTGTCATCGCCCGGAGGGCTTCGAGGCTGCCGTTGGCCTTCGCGAGTAGCTTTTGACGGTGTGTGTTGAAATCGAGGCCTTTATCTAGCCAGACGCCTAGGTATTTAGCTGACTGTGTTGGTTGTATCGACAATTCGTCGATTCTAACGGGCATCTAGTCGTTGCCTTGAGGGTGTGCTCTATCGAAGTCGTATATATCGATATTCTCGTCGTTCTCGGCGTTGTTCTCTTGTGGATTGTCGTCGTCGGATTGAGGGTTGGTGAAATGGATCAGTTCGAACTTATCGGGTGCAAATCTTGCTGCATGGCGTCTGGCCCATAGATTCGCCTTGTTGAGTATTTTCTCTAGTGTTATTGTGTTGTTATAGTACGACTCCGATTCCACTAGGACTGCCACGTCGTCTACCCAGCCAAAGCTAATCGACTGCGCAATGCCTGTTCTGATACCGCATGCAGTGATTAGGGGGCATTAAACAGCAAGAACAGGATTGGTGAGATTGGTGATCCTTGTGGGATGCCAGTGGGCGTGGGGAAGCTATCTGAGAGATATCCTAGTAACTTGATGCGTGTGCTCCTGTTGCGAAGGAATGATGCAATCCATGGCGTGAGTTGGCCTAGTCGAAGCTGCTTAATGTTGTGTAGAAGCCGTTCGTGGGATACATTATCGTAGGCTCCCGCTACGTCGAGTAGAAGTATGCTAACCTTCCTGCTAGCGCCTGAGCCCCATGCGCCGTGCACACGGTCTAGGATAAGTTGGATCGCATGATCTACCGAGATCCCCTTCCTGCCACCAAGATGGGTCTTTGGTAGTAGGCTATATTCCTCGGCCGCCTATGCGATGCGTGTGGCAACGATAGATTCAAGGATTTTGCCGAGGGTGTTTAGTAGGGCGACAGGTCGGTATGATTTCGGCTGCCGGAAATCACGCAGGCCGCCCTTACGAAGCGTCACCGTGATAGAGGCCTAGAAGTGGCGAGGATTGTGACCCGTTCGCATACACGCATCGAAGATTGCCGCCAGAATCGCCACGAAGTGGCTGTTACCTGCCAGTAGCTTCCACACGCGGTTCGGGATACCATCCTCCCTAGGCGCTTTGTCCGGCGGCGCTCGCTTAATCGCATCGATTATCTCTTGCTGAGAGATCGTAGGGAAGGCGATCTGATTTGGGTGTGAGGTCGAAGAATCGATGTCAGAGAGATCAGCTCGTGGGGGCTGTGGGAAAAACACCTGGCGGAGCAGATCGACCTTCTGTTCGTTGGTTTCTGCTAATCCCCCGTCTGCTCTTTTCAATGATGGGATATTGCTGCTCCCGGACGGCTGATCCCTTGTATAGGCCCATTTCGATACCTTCCAAAGACCGCGGGGGCCTCTATCAATCGTATCACGCACCCACTGACGAAAGGCCCGTTTCATTGCTTTCTTGATGATCTTCCCTTTCGCGTTTCTTACTAATGTGTATTCCTTCCAGTCTTCATCGTCACGCGTGCGTATATACTGTCGGTATTGCCTACGAGACGCCTTTATCGCTTCCGTGCATTCGGGAGTCTAGCCCTGGCGTGCCCTCGCTGACGGCTTCGCCTAGGGGGTTGACTGTTGGGTTGCCTGTTGGACGGTATCGAGTAGGTGGTCAATAGCGCGGTCGATATCGTGGGGTGAAGTAACCTGCCGCATCCAGTCCTGGAGGTTCGCCGACACAAAGGTAAGGAACTTCTCCACGTCTATAGCCTTCCAGTTCCGCCGTTTGATAGGATCTACGGCCTCTGGAACGTTGATTTCGAGCAGGGTTTGAATCGGCAGGTGATCTGAGTCGGCGTGGACGCTTCGGTCAACCTCACACGCTATTAACTGCTCTCGTAGCGAGTATGAGGCGAGAACGAGGTCGATCGTAGATTGTGAGCCAGCCTGATCGCGTGTGATAGTGCCTGGTACCAACCAGTTATCTAGGCCGGTTATTTCCATAAGATCTAGGAGGTCTTCCGCCTTCGCATCGCGTGGGGCATCGTCGCCGCCCCAGACCGGATGGTGTAGGTTAAAATCGCCAAGAACCAGGTAGGAAACCCCCTTTTGCTCGCGTATAGGTGGCAGCGTCTCCTGTAGCTGGCGCAGAGTAGCTCCATATTGTTGATCGTTATACACGTTGATGATTCGAAGCTCTCCAGAAGACTCGGTCTTCAAACGGACCTCGTGGCAGTCGCGAGAGTACACTAGGTGAGCGTACTCGCCCAGCCTCTTCGAAACGAACATACACACCCTCGCCCTGCCTCCCGTTTCGCTCGCCGCTGGATATAGTAGATCATGCGTCTGCTTTAACGGGTGGTGAGTGTTATCTTGGAAGGGATTTTCCCACGGCTCCTGGATTGCAATGATATCGGCGCTGACAACTTCTTCTTCCCGCAGAAACTGCGCCATTACCACGTCCTTCGATCTGTGCACGTTATATTGATATATTTTAAGCTCGCGGCTCGTCGGTTCTCTTGGTGTGTGTTGTTGGTGGCTGTGATAATTCATTGGCGGTTCGATCGAGAAGATTTCCTGCTGTGTAGTATCCTGCGTCTCTCAGCTTGGCGAATGTTGAGAGATAGATCCTCGCTGTGAGGCTGCTTTCGCTTTCTACGCCCTTCTTGTGCCGGTGGTGACGATGGTTGATAGTCCTGATCGCTCCTGTGGGCTTCAAGCTAACGTTCTAGATCTCTCATGTTGACCTCATCGAGCTCTGAGCTGAGTTCCGACTTAATCCGTTCCTGACTAGCCGTTTCGGCTAGGCTTATAACGCATAGTAACTTGTTGCTAGTGTCGTTACTGCTGGTCTTTCTTTCAGCGATCTTTCTTGCTCTCGCCTCTCTCGCTTTCGCCGTTCTTGCCCTTGCTTTATCGGCCTTGGATTGCGCGCTGCTGCCGGTGGTAGCCTGCGAGCTTGGTCCTTCTGGTTGGAAATCCATCTTATCGAGGGGTGGCGCTGTGAAACTAGAGAATCGAAAGGTGCTTGGTGCTGTCGAAAATTGGAATGTCGGTTGTTATTCGCTGGTTGTCGGCTGACTGATAATAATCGGCTGCTCTTGGGATTGGCCTTCCGTTGGCCTAGTTTCACTTTCACCTTCACTAGTCTCTGTTGGCTAGGACCGAGCCCTCCGAGCTTTCTGTGGTCTCCCCCTCCCCTTACCTGATGATGTCGTTATTACCGATTTAGCGCTATCCTTAGGTGTATGCTGACTAGCTTGTAGGCTAGTTCCTGTTCGTGAAGTAGGGCCGGTGCCCTTGCCCCCGTTGCTAGGGCGTGCGGCTGGCGCGAGACCGCTACTCTCGACGCCGCTGGTGAGCTCCTCGCTCGATGATGAGTCCCTCGGTGTTCCCCACGAGCTGGCGGAGGAGGAATATAAGGTGGCCGGCGGCTGGTTGATACTGTATGGAGCCGGAATATGGTGGTATCTACCCCGATGTCTCGATAGCTCCGCTATCTTTTCAACCTCACGTTAGCGTGCCTCGCATTCCGTGCTCCACGCAGCGTGTGTACCCTCGTAGTTAGCACACTTATTCTCCCGTGTATCCTTCGACGGGCAATCCCGAGATTGATGGCCCTCCGCACAATACACGCATTTGACGGCGTTGGCATAGGTGGTTCCTATATGTCCGTATTGTTGATAGTTGAAGCACTGCCGCACACGCGCCGCCCTATCGTATAGGACCGCTGTCAGGCTATCGCAATCCCAGAGGACCCCCTTATCGATCGCCACGTTAGCCAGCACTGGAGAAGTGAACTCCACTATCAACGAGCCACTCTTCCCCGATGGGATACGCAGCCAGCTGATCTTAGTAATCTCTGCCCCTTCGCCCCAGTTTTGCACGTTGCTCGCAAGTAGGTCCTTAATAACCTTATCTTGCACGCCGGTAAGATCCTCTGACGCCTTATTGATGCCGAGCGAGCGCACGTTGACATCGTGGACGACAATCCCCCAGGTTGGCATATGCACGTATGCCGTCTTGCAGAGCCCTTTCGGCTACTTATCGCGGTGGATTCGCATGATTTCGGCTTCCTTGGCATCGCACACGGTGAATCGGAGATCGCCTGATTTCAGCTGGCGCGATGCGATGATTTTGACCGATGCGAGGGCCGGCGTGCCTGTGGTTCTGGCTGCTTTCGCCCTAGCCTGGTTTGCCCGCTTGGTGAGCTCAGCACTCGTTAGACGGCGGAACACACTAACCTGCGAGCGGTCGCCTAGACAGACTACCACTTCGCGGTCACGTGCTACCTCCGATGGGCGCGTTGGCGAGCTCGAGGAGCTGCTCGAGGAGAGATAGTGCGCTGGCGCAGGCATTGTGCGGACCATATCTGCGAATGATCGAACCGTCTGCCTCACTGGCGGTTCTACTGCTGCTTTGACAGCCTGGATCTCTTGCTTAAGATCCCTGCGCAGCGCTTCGAGCTCCTGCTGCCAATCGGTCAGGGGCGTCGACAGGAGGTCCTTCGTCAGGTCTTCCACCTGCCGGAGGAAGTTGACGACTTTAGGGGTTGGTTTGGCGTTCTGACCCCTTCCCAATTCCTTGAGAAGATCGTGTGCAGCGTGGTTGGCGTTCAGTACGCGCTCTCTGTTCGTTGGCGAATTTTTCAATGGGCCGCCGGAGGCCCCTGACGGGACCGGCCCAACGCCCTTTGACGCGCGCAACATCGCAATACTGGTCGAACAGCTTCGAAACCGGTATCGAATGATAGCGCAGGGAGTTAGATTGAAACTGCCGTTTACTAGAAGTTGCCAACTGGCGCGGTTCCTGAGATAGTTCAAAAATTCAATTCGGCGCTGAAGTTGTTGTTTTGCCCCGCATTTCTCTGGCCTTCTTGTTATTTCCCCTCTCAACCCTTCAATCTGAGCCCCTACGACCTGAGCCACCCTTGCTGGTTTTCTGTTGGGCCTACTTCATCACTTCTCTCCATATCAATATGGTTACCTTTACATCCGACCGACATCTCAAGCTAGCATTACTCGGCGATGCACGTGTCGGCAAGGCATTGACTGATTTCCAAAGCTTGTTGTATGTGACATAATTGACAGTCCTGAAGACTAGTCTCGTATCTCACATCATTCAGGGATCCATATATGACCCAATATACTCTCCAGCCAGAGGTTTTGAATGCACACCGTGTATATATACAACGGTATGTCTCTTTAAGCATGGGCTGAACAAAGTATGCTTATTTAGAAAATAACGGCAATTACCAAGATACACCACCATTTTTAGATGATGATCACTTTTCCCTAGTTCATGCGCCTTTAATGACCACTCTGACTCTCCTCTAATGTGTATTCAAAATAGACCCACTGGATCGTCACTTTTGATATCTAGGATATCTCGGGCCGTCATAGCATATCACCGGACCGTGTGAAGTAGCTGAAAGATAACAATCCTGCAATCATTATTGTTGATCTATCTCAAAGGCCTAGCGTCAAAAGTGCCGTCAATTGGTACCGTACGTATTCCCTTTTCCTTTATATCATCCAAAGTATTGACTGTGCAGGGGAAATCACATCGGCTCATCGGGATCCAGCTAAGCTACCAGGATGAATCTACTCAAAAAAGGCATATCGAACGGAAGATGAATATGAAGTGAAAGCACATGCAATCCCATGGCCTGATGAGATTGCTGCCTTACCGTTCTACCATAACCCATACTTAGGGGAATCTCGATCAGTGGGAGGGCCAATAACTACTATGATCGGTCTTTTGAGAGGATCATGCAAGATATTACGGGCGATGCAGATTTAGTAGGTGTTATGGAATTTGTCTCTTGATTGCTGCCCCTTCAACGCTAATTCTAATCCCCTCTACTAGCATGTAGTAAGATATTACCCGATGGAATTGTCGTCCTCTTTCGGAAAAAAGAAGCAGGATTTCAAACGCCAAGAGAAACGAGTCGGGGATCATACATTAACGGACGTTGAGCTGTAAAGTCCTGCAAATGAGCTGATATATACCAAGCCGGCAGAGTCTACATTGGGAGCTACTGTACTAAGAGATAAACCTTATAAGAACAGAGTCCGAAGTTCAATAACATTCGTGGTCAAATTCAAAATCGTGAAGCAAAGAAAGTATGTGACTCTTTACTCTTCTTTATAGAATATCTTTCCTCGGAGCCTTGGAGTATACACCTAGAGTAGGCATAAATCACTTAAGATATTATCTTTTGATTCACATAGGTTCTATTTACTATGTTTTACAGAAATCATGTAGTAGTTAACGGTCTCGAAAGTGAAGGCACGGCACGGATTGGTATCGAAACTGATAAATCTACTTGAATCAAGGATCGAACATAATTCTTGACCCAGGAGATAATACGCCTATAGCCTGTACATAGAAATCACATAAGTCATAAAGCGTAGAGTTGCCATAATAGCAACTCCTGAACTTTAAATTGCCAAGTTGCAACCAAGTGCGTGGGAAGACTAGCCATGATACAGTCTACCTACCATCACACTGGCGTGGCAAGGTGAGTGAAACAGATTCCCCTCATTTGAGACATCACGACAAGGCACCTTCCTCAACGCCATTGGAAGTAGGTTGGGCAATCGAAGCACGACGCTTATCATTGCCACCTTTGACCCGCCGGAAACCGACCATTTGGCCAACTTCCCTCCAGAAGCCGACAGGGGGATCCATGAAGCTGGCCTCGTATGCATCAATAAGTGGCCGCTCCCAAACCAGATCAGCCTCGTGAGGCTTGACAAACTTGGTCTTCTTGATGAGCTTCCAGATGAGGAAAAGGGGAGGGATCACGATCTGCATGGTGTAGTCTGACCAGAACGTGGAGACATTCCATGGCTTATACGCGGGATATCCATAGAGAATGGTCACCAAAATCATCCAGATAAATGCGGCATATGCGCAGAAGGGTTGAAGGCGGGCAAAGTAGGAGAAAGAACTGCGATCGACGCCCTGTGCTTTGCATGCGCGATGGAAGAAGATATATGTCAGAGAGATCACGATATAATTGATCAAACCTGGTTTTGCGGTCAGCATCTCTTTGTATTTCCGGATAGAATTTCCGGATAGAAAGGTAGTATTGTAGATCTAACTCTTACCTCCAGCTGTGACAAGATTGGCAAACCAAGTAATGACGATGGAAGAGCTGTTTGAAACTTGCAAGAAGGACAGAATCGGGAAGATCATGACAATTGCAAAGCAGTAGATAGGTACACCCTGGCGAGTGGTGTAGGTGAGAATTCGTGGGGCTCTTCCTTCCAGTGCAAGGCCGTAGAGGGTACGAATGGCACAGTAAGTGTAGGTGTTACCGGCCGAGAAGATTGAAGTCAGGAGGAGGCTGGCGAAGAGAAAAATGGTCAGCTTTCAACGGGGATCAATGTTCTCGAAAGGGAGGTACTCACGCGTTGACAATGGAAGGGAAGACTGCAATTCCCAAATTCTGCATGCCAATTACATATGGCGAGGCGGCTGCAGAAGATCCACTGGTCTCTCCCATTACCACCTTGGTCAATGCCGGGTCCCTGGGAGAGCAAACAATGCCCACGGCCAGAGCGCCACCAACGAAGAAGATTCCGAATCGGAGATAAACCGTCTTGAAAGCATTCTTGATGTAAATGCGAGGGCGTTTGGCTTCGGCAGCGACCATGGAAATATACTCGGGTCCGACGACGGTAAAGCAAGCGGACCACAGAGCTCCCAAGAAACCTTCAAAACGGCCAAGAGCCCCAGTGTCGAGGTATTCCATAAACGCGCCTGGGGTGTTCCAGTTTCTGAACCCATAAGCATCATGTTGCGGATTTCCACCGACCATGGTGATGAAGGTAAAGAAAAATAGCGAGAAGATCAGGACGACCTTGCCACCAGAGAGCCAAAACTCGGCTTCACCGTAGGCTCGGACTGCCAACATGTTCAGGAAGCTGGAGTGAGTGAATTAGCATGATCCATATATATCGCGTGGAGACCCGCGGAAGAGGGTCGCGCGATAGAAGTCGAACACAGATGTCATGAAATGAGAAATGCGTTCCAAGTCCATCTCCAGGTTGGCGTGGTATGCTGGAATTGGGACTCTTACCCGTAGCACAAAATAATACCAGCACAGATGCCCGCAACGGGGCCAGGTTCAGTGACCTTCTCACTCCAGAAAGAAAGAACCAGTGTAAACGCAGAAATCTCGAATGGAATCAAGAGCGCCTCATAGAAGCTACCATGTCTGTTAGCTCAGAGCCCGTCTCGAATCCACATGTAGAACGGAAGGAGCAGGGACTGAAAGGCAAGTAATGAGAGGAAGTAAAAACGAACAAGAAGTTCCAGCCGACCATGAAGCCGAGCGCATCGTCGACCCATTTGCCAGCCAAACGAATAAACCCTCCACTCACGGGGTAAGCGGTACTCATCTCGGCAAGGCAGTTATTGATCATGGCCAGGAAAATACTTTGGATGCTGTAAGCCAGGAACAAGCTTCCAGCGCCGCCGTGGTATAGACCTGTTCCAATACTAACAAACAGAGCCGTTCCAATGGAACCACCAATGGCAATGAGTTGGATCTGACGGTTCCCAAGATGACGCTGGAGGTTGTCGGCATTATCAGCCATCACACCCTCCTGGACATCATGGGGGCCCTCGGTCTTCAGACCTAGAGTGTCTGAAACATCGGTGGCCGTCCCCTTGTCTTTATGGTTCGCAAAAGCCATGATTGTGTCAACAGTGGATTGGCCTAGATTTTTCTACCAATTGATACGGATTGGGCCAGAGCGCAGGCGATATTGGAAGTTTGTCAGTATCACCGGCGGTGAAGGGCAGGTTCGAGTCGATATTTTCAATTGTTTTCTTGTCGCATGGGTCTGATTTGGGCAAATTGTCCGGAGGTCGAGGGTTTGGGATCCACACAAAAGGTTAGAAGAGGAGGGGGTCAAAAGTCGCGATGGTCCGGATGGAAATATCCAAAATGGGTGTCGCAAGGGTTTGGAACTGTTGCGTTGCGGCAGGAGAATGTCGCTTTGGAAAAAATGGGCTGCGAGCTCGAAGGATTGGGCTTCGAGTTTCTAAGACCGAAGTCGTAGATATCGTGGAGCGCAAGATTGTCGTTTTCACGGGGCACCTAAGTTGAAGAATTCCGGAGGACTTTCGTGGAATAGCAACCCCAGAAAGATAGAAAGAATAAAAGTAGTAGAGATTCTGAGATGATGAGGTTGGAAAGATAACCTGCACAAGGTTATCAGGAAGTTGAAGATAAGGGGAAAAGTCCAAAGCTGGATCGAAGCCCTACAACTCTGTGCAGATTGACGAGGTTGAGAAAGAATAAAGAAATCTCAACGCGCGGTTTGGCCCGGGGAGACCAGGGTAGAAAAGAGGCGTGATCCTCTGAGGCCAGTGGCGCCCGGAGGCTAAGAAGCTAAGGGAATCTCCACAAAAAGACCAAGAGTTCTAACAGACTAAGAAAGTCAGATTATCCCGTAAGAAGACTAGTGCAGACGACTAAACCAGAGGGGCGGCAAGTGACATTTCAGGCCCCATACAGCACTTTCACAGTCCCATGGGTAGGCCACTTAGTATGACGGCACAGTCGAGTTGTTAACTTACGGTAAGAACATGGCCAGAAGCGGGGTTAAATTGAGAACGACCATCATCCAAGGCACGAATTGGAGTGGAACAGGAGTATTACTTCTCTCCAGATGGGCCAATCTTGCGTAGGTCTGAGCCACGTTTTTTGCCCGATCTCGTCAATTGTGATTGGATGTGCCGAGTGGAATGGACTGTTAGCCAAGAACGGCGACGAAAGTCACTAGGCCGTCTTGGGACACGAGTCTGTCTCCTCGGCCACGAGTCATGTTACATTGTACGCGGTTTTTGCGGTTGGGACGCTTGGGACCTCTCTGGAGGACCTCCGTGCCGTGGATGGAAGGGTGAGTAAATTAATACTGCACAGTATGTCCAACCTAAGAGACGTCAGGGGCGGAATGGGGCTGAACCGAGCGGGCAAATCACGCCGCGTCCGTACGCCTCTAGCACCCTAGTGCGTCCATCAACCAGGAAATTGGAAAGTTATCATGATTATCTTGGTCGCTCAAGTGCCCCCCAATTTCCCAAGGGCCATCCCGCGACGTGTGGGCGTTCCATAAGCGGGACCGGGGGCGCCGACGTGGCTGATAAGACGGGCCCGTGCCTAGTCTGGGCTGATGGCCTTACGGGAAGAATCATCCCGTAGCTTGCAAGCAAACAGGGGGCTTTCCCATCGAGGAGCAGCAATACAGCTTAGCCTCCTTTGGAGGTCTGCCACAGATTACATACTCTGCATCCCAAGCATCGCAAGATAAGGCCAACCCGCAAATTTATTGTTAGGTAATGCCAAATGCAGCCCGGTCGCAAACGGGCAAAGTCGTAGTTGTTTTCGAGCAAAAATACTGTTAGATTTCTAGATATCAGCGTCCTTCACCAGCGGTAGTATTGCAACGCCAGCCTATTCGGGCAGGTACACACCTGTTGCGATCAATTCCGGAACCTTCATGTGTAATGCAGATTTGGCGTACCTGATTCTCCATACCCTGGCTGCCTCGACCAGTTGGGAATTATTCAAGCAGATTTGCTGTTATTTAGAACCGCTAGTTCAACAAGACGGAATTATGAGGATTATCGAATATACTTATGAGAATGTTGGAGAACCTTCCTCGTGAAAGTGTTCAAATCCACGGCTCAAGTAGAAAATCAACGATAGTTATACTGATTCGTATCCAACCGTCCAAAGGCACCGCTAGAAAGACCACTATCTTCCCTGCGTCCAAAATCTGGATGGTCAAGCAGTGAAATTTCTGTAAATTGAGGCTTTCTAATAGCTCGAATTAATCCTAACGCGTATGGAGCATCGGGGCAGACGATCAATAACCCGTTTAGAAAGACCATTCCAAAGTCTGGTTGGACCATTCCTCTGACCTCTACATTCGGACTTTTGGACTGCCAGTCTTATAACAAAGATTATCAATCAGCCAATCAAAAGGCTCAGTAGTTTAGCGGTATGATACGTCCTTCGGGCGTGCCCGAAATGTGCAACATTTCCTGTCTGGACGTGACCCGGGTTCGATTCCCGGCTGAGCCCACGTTGGCTTTTTGCCCTTGGCTGTTGTTTCGTATATGGAAAGTCTAGATCGTGCTTGTAATCGGGAAAGGAGGCACACTGTTTGTTAAATCAAACGTTTGAGATTTGAACTTGTGGTATTTTATTGACCCGGTTGCACGAACTGCATTGGGGGCGGCTTGGCAAAAGCTACACAGATGAGCCTCCGGTTAAAGGATCCCCCGGTCGCTTTGCCGATCGATTATCACTCTTCCATATTATTATCTTCACCCCAGAAAGAGTGCTCTTTCCACCTCATATATAATGCATCTTCAACTATTTGAAATACTCCGCATCACTGACCACTACATATTTTAAATGTTCTCTACTTGCTCCCCCGTCATCCCATTTACATGATATATATCAAGCGCTGATCAGTACAATCATGTTGCCGCAAAGATAAAACTGACAGAACGCTCACTTCATCTCAATCAAGTTGCCTTCTCCATGGCGTATCCCTGATCCGCCAAGAACTCCTCCAGTTCTCGATCCTCTTGCGCCAAATCAAGACGGCTACTCTCGGGCAGCAAGCAGTAAACCAGAATCCCAACGACTGCAACTCCACCAGCTAGATAGAAAGTCGAGCTACTTCCAGCAGCCTCTTGCAGGGGAGTGAAACATTCGGTTCCGACCGCAGCGCCAGTTCGACCAAAAGCAGTTGCAATACCGTATCCCATGCCTCGCATCGCCGTGGGGAACGATTCGGTTGAGATTAGGCCAATAGTCGCTCCCGGGCCCATATGGCCGAATGCCTGGAGAAGACCGTAGAGCACCACAAAGGCTGCAATATTCTTAGACAGCTTGGAGTAGGTACCACCAATGATGAATCCAAGCACCATATACCCTGCAAAGCCCAGAATACCGGTATTGCGTCGGCCAATAGCGTTAGTGAGCCAGGCTCCAATCATCACACCAGGCACTGGAAGAACGGCGAGAACCACCTGCCAAATTGCGGTCTTCCGAATATCATTGTCCTTCACCAGCGACGCAATTATCGTGCTAGACATGATGCTGTTTGGAAAGTTGATAAAATCGTACAGGAAAAAGGCCAGAGACGTCGTCAAGATACGGCACCAGTACCGACGTGCCAGAAGGACATAGAGTCGGAAGGGCCGTCGCTGCTTGGTGAAGTTGGAGTTATGAAATAGCGTCGAATCGACCATAAACATGCGGAGGACAATGATGATCACCGGCAGAACAGTAGCAATGCCATAGATTGCGTGGAAAGTGATGGTTAAGTTATTGTTGCTAGCAACCAGACAGATCAAGTAGACGATCTGCAAGATTGGGCTAGCCAAAGTGGCCATCAGCGTTGTGAACGAGACATAAAGTGGCCCGCGGTAAGCCCTCATGACCTGTTAGAATTAGCAATGTCGATATATTGTCCGACGGAGAATTTGGTTATTCACCCCGTCAGATTCCTCGATACCAGCAGCCGCACTCGGTGGATATTCACCTCCAACACCAAAGCCGGCGATTCCACGAACCACGACGAAATACCACAGCATCTTTTGAGAAGGATGCACCTGTAGAGCAAGTGTCGACAACAATGTAGCGATAGCAACTAGGCCCGATGTGAAAAGCAAGCCTGATCGTCGCGAAAACATGTCCGAGGTATATCCTAGAACCACAACTCCAAGAATAGCACCAATGATTAAGGAATTACTGATCCGGGTCTTCATGTCAGAGGAGTAGCCACCAGACCCGAGGAGCTTTTTGAAGATGACATTGGTCGGATTCGCAAGGCTGTTTTGGAAACCATCACTGAAGTTTGCGATGTACTAGAAAATCAATCAATAGGTGGAACGCGAGATGCTCGGCCTTGGATACAAACATACACAGCTCACGATGGTGACATTGCTCTGCCATCTTGTTGGGTGATAAGAATCGGCATGCCGATCAATCCCATCAGTACCAACCGTTGTTGTGGGAGCTTTCTCAGTGGGAGTATTCCCTTCGGGGTCATCAACTCTCTGCATGTGTGTCGCCATGGTAGTACTCAATCGATCGGAAATAAGAGTTGACAATCAGGCGAGCAGAGGGTGTAAAAATTCTTGACGCAGGAAGAACGAAACCCCGCTGCAGGGGGGTCTGATTTTGTTGTCGAGGCTAATATTTTAGTTGGTCCACTTTACGTTGATAAGCAATAGCTGTGGGTAAAATGCTTTACGGCACAGCTCCGACTGACCCACCGCGCCGGTCAAAGTGCTCTGGCCCGCGGAGATGAACATCGGATGGGTAACGGTATATGGGGCAAACGATAGAGAATATAGATCTAGTTCTTGATAAGATCGGTGGGGTGCCACTTTTATTATTCATGATATGAGTCGTCCATCCGGTGCCGGACTTGAATCAAAATGCTAATTTTTTTCCGGTATGGTTGCCACATCCCCTAGATGGATTCGATTATTGCTCCACAATCCAATACTTCTTATGATGTCTCTTTGTTCAAAATGACCTCAACAGATCATCTTCCTGTGGCGTTGAGACATGCAGTTGAAAACCGTTTGGAACCTACATGCAAAATTTGACAAACTACATTCCCTGGGAGATGAAACTGAACTTGGGACCTTTTCACTATGTATTTAGATCATGCGAAGTGTTAAATGGGAAAGCTGGCCTGCTGTCCCTAACCATAAACTCTCACTCTACATAGTCAGTGCCGTGACTAGTCAAAGAAATAATCCGACATTGCCTCCCATGTGGACCAGTTACGCGTACGTGGGGATATATAGTAGGCACTCGTGCAGCTAACTCTAGCATATTGAGACCATATTCCGTGTCAAATAAGATTGCCTCTAGCAATGCATCTAAGAGACGTTAATTTAACGATTCACTGGCAATTGCTCTCTACGTAGGCGTATGCTTCTAGGCTGGTAAGGCGGAGACTGATAAATCTATGGAAAACCCACAACCACGGGCTGGTAACTTTGCAGATATTGAACTAGGAGAACCCAGAGAGGTGCTGGCTATAATGCTGGTTCCAACGATGCCTGAGCAACCTTTTCAAGATCATAAAAAAAAGGAGGAATAGAGGTATTTCTCTGCGAACTATCTCCGTTCAAGCGCATAATTTAACACTGTCAGCGTTATCTCACAGTTTCTCTTATATTAATCAAAATACTGTAGATATATTCTGTGTCTATGCCGATGCTGCTAATCAGCTGACAGTGCGGCCGTACTCCTTCGAGTCTCCACTTCCTGTCCCCGCCCCCAATTTCTCCAACCCTCTCTCCATCATCCCAATCATTTTCTAGGGCGTCCGCTTTTTATGGGCCTCCAAATATTCCTGTATTGTTGCCCTTTCACAGATGAAGTTTAAAAGAAAGGAATAGTATAAGAATGAGCTATCACAGGAAACGTGTTGCCCTTGCATGCACCTTTTGTCGGAGCCGGCAAGTCACGCCTTCCAAAATATGCGCAGCACCACGTTGACTGAACTGATTACAGAAAGCGACGATGCGATGCTCTGAAGCCATCCTGCTCCCATTGTCAGGAACTGGAGGTGGAGTGTCACTACGATGATACACAGTCTCAAGGGTATGCCTCTCTAGCCGTCTTTGAATCAATGCGTCTAACAAGCGCAGGATCGATTCCTCCGGGGGAACCCGGGAGATCCTGAGTCGCATACGAGATCTGGAGACTCTGATACAATCACAATCCCGGCAGATTGAGATCCTTACACAAAATAGCAGACAATTTTATCATCCTAACCAGCCTCACTCTTCACCAAGGGCGTCTTCGATAAATTTCGAACCCATCCAATCATGCACGGCTGCTCCTTTATTCACTGGATTCGAAGCCCACGCGGAGATCGGAAACTTGCCGCCCTTAACAATTCCGGTCAAACACAAGACCTCGTCAAGCTACCTGCTGGGGTTGCCGGCCATAGAGTCTCTGATCGGGAAATACCCTCGGGACCTTTTCTTCCTCCTGGAATCCAAGAATCAATTACCATCCGAACTATCGTTTGATTGCTCGACCCTGACGCTCTCGCCAGTGGGTATCCCACGGCATGTATCTGACGAATTAGTGAAATCATTCTTTGCATCAGCTCATCATCATCATCCAATACTCGACCGTGGCGAGTTCCAAGCCATCTATCAGCGGTTCTTCGATTTAGGTCCGACAGCAAAGGCCTCGTCTGCACTATGCATGGTTGTTTTTGCCTTGGGGGCTGTCGCTAATTCTAAGCCAAACTTGCAAGAGCTTCAGAGCAATCCACCAGGGATGCAATATATGCATCAAGCAATACCCACACTCTTGAACCAATCTTCATGGTGCTTCACGTGCGAATTGATCCTCCCCCAGGCTCTGGTTCTGGCGAGCGTATATTTCGCATATATCGTGCGTCCCCTTCAGAGTTGGCGACTCATTTACTCGGCGACGACAATTCTTCAAGTCAAGCTCTCCAGGTAGGCTCCTTTCAGATACACATTTCCGTAGATAGATGCTCAAAGTATTACAGGGCAGATGAGCGCGACGCGAGCCAAACTGGCGCGAGAGTATCATTCGGCTTTTCTGGTCGTGCTTCCTGGTGGAATGCGACCGTCTTGCGGAGCTCGAACTTCCAAGAAGTGGTTTACAGCAATTGACGGACGAGATCAGTCTCCCAGAATGTACCAATATTGATATCATGCAGTCCACCTGCTACCTGGCTGAAATTTCTATTCGGCGATTGCTGAACCGTATCCACAACTCCCTTTACCCAAAGAAGAAACACGTGTTAACTCTATCTACGACTACCTTGACAGCAAATGAGGATTTTCCTATCGAAAATATTTCAACGATAGGGTCAATCTGTGACGAGCTACATTCGCAGTTAGAACTATGGCACTCATCAATTCCCGAACGTTTTCGGCCGCAACTTTTCAGCCCAGAGCCCGACTTCGCAGCGACCGACCGCAAATCTATTTTACGAATTCGATACTTTGCTGCCAGGCACATCATTTATCGACCCTTTTTGCTCTACATAATCAATCACGGGATGGATCGCACCACAGACTACATGATCGAAAAGGCTGCACTCTGCATTGAAAGCTGTCGATATTATATCCACAGTACCACTCCGGTATTGGCCACGCCAAGTCAATATACGTGGACGTTCTCCTTATCGTATGTGGATACCTATTAAAACTAGTTCGCTAAATTTAACATGCTGCAGGTCTTTAGGTGCCATAATGGTGTTGACGCTCGCCTCTCTAAGCCCTGTCCTGAAGCATTTGGTTCCTGACATCGACGAACTGCAAACTGAGGCTTTGGATAATATCCGGCCATGGGGCTTTTCCAGTTTGGAAGCCGTTGTTGATATTTTGGAGGGATTACAGAAAAAGCAAAGGTTTCTGTCACGAGTCTAAGTGTTGGAGAAGATCTCTATGAATTTAAAACGCACATCTAAAGACTCTGTTCAATCTCACAGTTCAAAGTTCGCCTCCAGTCGGCTGAGCAATAATCTCTTTTCCCACATCGCTATCCCAAAATGTTCCATTTGGATAAGTGTACTTCTCAAACGCTTCATCCGTGTAACCAGTCGAGTAACCAGGGGATAGTGGAGTAACATAATGGGCATTCTCGATTTTCGAAGGGTACTTCAAGTTCTCCCGGTGACTGTCTGCGTTCTCAAGCATTGATTTGCGTCCACTGATAGCAATATAGTCAATTGTACTCAAATGAGATGTAAGCTCTGTCAGTCCCATAGCTCCATTGTGGGGCACGCATGGGACATTGAACTTCAAAGCCATTAACATGACAGCCTTGGGGATGTTAGTGATATCCAGACCTTTAAAACTCTTAGTACGGCTTACAAGACATTCATTTACGCTTCCGAGTCGAACTGCGTCAATCTGACAAACATCTGTGGCCTCTGCTTGTAGGAGCTGCTTGAAAGTCACTCGGTTTTGAGCTGCCTCCCCCGTAGCGACGCCAACACCGTAAGGCTTAAGCGCTTTGCGGATTGTAGCATGTCCCAAAACATCATCAGGATTTGTAGGTTCTTCGATGAACACTGGCTTGAACTCGACCAATTGCTTCATGTATTCGATGGCTTCTGGAACACTCCAGACCTAAAATTGGCTGTTAGAGTGTATTCTCAATGCCAGGAGCCTAGTGTGACCATAACATACCTGGTTTGCATCAATCATGATTTGATAACCCGAGTCATAGCCAAGAACCTCTCTAACCGCAGATAGCTTCTCACGGTCGGCCTCAATGCTACTACCCACTTTGAATTTAAAAGTGGTGTAGCCAGCAGCTAGAGTTTCTCTAAGAACCTCGCGCATTCGATCTCCAGAAAAGGCCATCCATCCAGGGGATGTGGTATAGGCTGGAACTGCTCTGTTTTCCATTGCCTCCTGAAGTCGAGCGTCTTTGTTTTTCTGCGTCTGTTGAAGCATTTCAATGCTCTCCTCTGGCGTAATAACGTCCGTGATGTATCGGAAATCAATACACCTCACGATTTCCTCCGGGTTCATGTCGCATACAATCTTCCAGACTGGCTTGCCGAGAATCTTGCCCCACAGGTCCCAAACTGCATTCAATACTCCAGCGACAGCAAGATGGGTCACGCTTTTTTCGGGGCCGATCCATCTGTACTGAGAATCTGAGACCATGTATCTCCATGTTTTACCCATGTTGCGGGTTAGCTCATGCATGCTTCGCCCAACCACCCGTTTTGCAAAGATGTCAAGGGCCATGCAGATCAGTTCACTCCCGCGTCCATTACTGAATGCCTGTAAATATCAAATATTATATTCAAATTAACCCTTCACAAATCACCACTTGACGTGAGAACTGGGGAGGATGGAACTCACAATACCCTCGCCAGATAGACCATCTTGGTTAGTATTCAGTTGGATGAAAGGGTGCGATCCATTCGTGCCGACATGCATGGCATCGGAGCCAACACCATCCAGACTGGTAGGAAACCGCAAATCCACAATCTCGAAAGACGTGATGGTGACATCGTGCTCTGTCAAGTTGGAATTTGAGTCCATTTTCCCGAGCTCGATTAATGCGACTAAAAATCACTGAAAGTTTTAGGGATGATGTGTAGAGCAGAGGGATCAGAAGAGCGGAATGAAGAACACATAAATGAAGATCTAGATATAACCCCCACATCCTCATTTGGAATCCCACGCTTGTTGCCATAGCTCTGTGAGCTGTGGACATGCGGGGGATTCACAAATCAGCTTTATCCGGGAACGAAGCTCGGAAACATGCCGTCCGGCGTGAATGGCTCACGTCCAGTTCCCCGATTTTCAGTGTGGAGCTGCCGCCTACCCCCGCGACAACAACCAATCACTAATCCCTGGATGATCACAAATATGACGAGTCTGTCCTGCGATGTCAAATTGAAACAGTGCTCTCGGTGTCTCATTTGTTTTCTTCCCACAAGACACATTTGGCCTTTGCCCCCCGCGTAACTGATCCTCCCATTTGCTGGTAGGGAACACAAGGAATTTAGGATTCCAGCTAGGGATAGAGACGCTTCACACTTTGCATTATTAGGTATGTCTGATCAGTCGTTTCTAAAAAGTTGCGTAAGTTCATTGATAACGTAAGAGGTCGACATCAATAAAACAGGCAGAGTAGCCCACCATTTTCATTCATGTACTATTTACGGACTCAAATCACGGCAGAGTGTAATTGTTTAGTCCTTTACATCTTTCATTACAATCGCTTGTGCGATTAAATCGCTCACCGTATCGCTGAATGCGTGGTATAAAACGTCCAGCTCACAACCAGCGGTTTCTCCATCTAGACCATAAGTCTCATCGATTGCTTGCTCCTCTTGAGTCACCTGGTCTCTGAGTTGAGGGAATTTCCCTGCGATTATCCTTGCAGCAACGCCGTATGAGAACCTCTCGGGTGATGAAGGTATATATCTTTTTCCACCGTGCTCTTTCCCCATCAACGCGTTCACGTGCGCTATAGCGAGGTCACGGACGTCAACCCAAAAAGGAACACGGGAGACAGGAAGAGGGCTTGCACCAATTGCAATTCTCCATAGCATAGCGTTGGACTCATTGAGCTTGTTTACATTCTTGACGGGATGTACCACGGGCCCAAAGGTCATCGGAGGACACAGCGAAACAAGATCAAATTGCGCCTTGTGTTCCCGTAAATAGTCCCACGCCTCGAGTTCGGCAAACTTCTTGGACCCTCTGTAAGCGATCACGGCATTCGTAGTCGGATTGGCAGCATCTTGATAGGTGAGAGGGCTCCAATCGTCGCCAGTGTAGGTAAAATAAGGCGGGCCGTGGCGGCTTGCATCCAAGACTGCAGCAAATGAGGATGTGATCACAACGCGTCGGATCTGGGGATTAGATTGCGCAGCCTCCATGATGGCCCTCACGCCGTTGATAGCGGGCAGAATTAACTCTCTGACATTGTCGGTCGTGTCATACGTAAAGGGCTGTGGTTTTTCTGTGGTCAGCTGGATCTCTTCTCATCTTGAAGCCCCGAGGTTCCTCTTACGCTTGCTGTATGGATTACTGCATCCACCTCTTTGACCGCATCGAAGAGGCCACCGGGGTTTTGAAAATCGTCGATTTGAACGAATTCCAAGTTATGTGCGTGTTCCGGCCGAGCTTGAATCATAGATTGGCCTTTGGATAGGCTTCGCGTGGCTCCTCGGACACGAAAACCACGCGCGAGCAATGCGTCCACGATGTGGGCGCCGATAAAGCCCGTTGCGCCGGTAACAAGAACAAAACCAGGCTTGTCCATTGCAAAGTTGTTAGGGAGATGAGATCAAAAAATGAAGTATAGAATCCATCCTCGGGACTTCTGCGTTAATGAATTAGTCTCTGGTACCCTCCCACGTCACCTTTTACTTCCTCTCTTGCGCCAAGCTGCCGTCGTTCCCCGCGGGGGAGGATACCGGAGGAAATCCCACGCGGTGTATCATGAGAGTGGAGCTGCCGCCTATCCCCGCGCAAACACACTAGGGCATAAATCCAGTCCACACTGAATGCCCCATGGGGAATCGGGAAGTTCCCGACTTCCCTTCTCCACTTTCGTTGCTAGATTCACTAGTTGTGCCTCCCCGCATTGAGCAGACATGGGGTAAACTGAACGCTTAAGACGGCTGAACGACATCGAGACAATCAGCCAGTTCGTTCTAGCGTGCGCCTCGCGAGGCAGTTCACAACACTTATCATTTGCTTCCTCATTCTATTTAAACCCCCGTGGAAGGCTCGGGCAGTGACGCACCCATCCATCCAGCGTCCCACCAAGCTATTCTATTCGAAGAAATCGGAGAAGCATTCGCGTCAATCTGTCAATCAGAAAATGCCACACTTAGGCATTGGGAGTCCTCTGACAGGAAGATGGCTAATCACCGTCATCACCATCGCCAATGCATGGTAAGTCAAGCGCTTGAGATGTAGTATCCTCTCTTTAGCAGTATACTATTCCCTTCGTTCGTATCTCACAGCTAACGTCTAACCAATTGCAGTTCGATGGCCTGGTTTGGCTACGATCAGGGTGTTTTCTCGGGAGTTCTTATCTCCGCCGATTTCAAGAAACACTTTCCACAAATCAAGAACTCTAACATTTCTGGAATCACGTCTAGTTGCTTCTCGGTACGTCTGCCTTTACATTCCCTACAAGGACGCACGGTTGTAACGCTTAAACCTGATGATTTGAAACAGCTAGGAGCGTTCTTTGGTGCCATGTTTGCCTTTACACTTGGTGATACACTCGGTCGACGGAAGACGGTAGGTCTTGGTCTGACCTGCAATACTATTGGTGCAGTTCTTCAAGTTGCTTCATGGAGTCTCCCTCAAATGATATTCGGTCGCATTGTGAACGGATTTGGTATGGGATTGACTTCCTCAACATGTCCTGTCTACCAGGCAGAGTGTTCCAAGCCTCGTATCCGGGGCAAGCTCGTTGTAGTTGGCTCACTTTGCAACACTGCCGCCTTTTGTCTCGCCAACTGGATGAACTATAGTCTTGATTTCCAAGAGAGTGCCTTACAGTGGCGCTTCCCTCTTGGCTTCCAGCTGGTATTTCCAGTGATCGTTGCCGTCGCCCTCTTGCTTGCCCCGGAGTCTCCCAGATGGCTCTTGCTAAAGGATAGACACGAGGAGGCTCTCCAAGTTATTGCCAGGCTGGAAGGGCAAGATGATCTACACGACCCAGAGGTCACAACTCAGTTTTTATCAATTCAATCAGCGATTGAAGTTGAACGCAAAAATCGTGTGCCCACTACAGATGCCCTGCTGTGTCGCGACAAAACGCAAAATCTTCGACGAGTCATACTGTCCTGCGGAACTCAGTTCATGCAGCAATTTAGTGGTGTCAACGCGCTTGGATATTACCTGCCTACGTTGCTCCAAGAAAGTGTTGGCCTTGGAGAACAAGAAAGTCGTCTACTCACTGCAGTGAATGGCACCACTTATCTATTCGCCGCATTCTGTTGCTTAATCATCATTGATCGATTTGGACGTCGCAAGTGAGTTCTCCCCCCCCGCGATAACTCAGTGTGCTAGATTCTCTGATACGTACAGGTTAATGCTATATGGTGCCGTCACTATGGGCGCGTGCTATCTTGTAGCTGCCATTTGCTTAAAACAGGCCGAGGTGGACCCGTCACGTAAACGCCTGGTATGTTCTCTGACATGTCGCTTGCCCTCTCACTTCCTAACATCAATTGCCATCTCCCATATAACCGTGGAAAAGGAACTAACACGCCAATTCAGATGGGCCAAGTCACTACATCCATGTTTTTCCTGTACTACTTTTTCTACGGGACCAGCTTCGCCAAGGTCCCCTGGGTCTACAACTCCGAAGTAAACTCTCTTGGCTGGCGCACTCGAGGAGCTGCTGCGGCCACGGCAACCAATTGGATGGGAGGCTTTATCGTTACACAGTTTACCAGCGTTGGTGTGAACCATCTTCACTGGAGATTTTATCTAAGTCAGCCAGCCATTACCCTTGCATCTACCATACTCAAAATAGCTCTAACCCTCTGAACAGTTTTTGCGATCATTGCCTGGTCCTTCTTTCCCATCGTTTTTTGTCTGTACCCTGAAACATCTCGGCGGACTCTAGAAGATATGGATGAGATGTTCATTCTTCATCCTTCTTTTATTGTGTGTGGAAACAGCGATATGACCCAACGCGAGCGGCCGGAGGCTCTTATCAATGCAGAGACAGAACGCATCTCACAAAACACTGAACTTGGTGCAGAAGGGAAGGGGGTAACAACGGCTCATTATGAGCATGTGGATAAGGCAGTGTAGGTAATATTCTTGAGAGAAAAATGGAATTCCAATTACCAATTTTTGCTGAATCGACAGATTGGGCGTTTAATAATGATAGACCATCATGAAAATTCATAGTGGTATACCTTTCCAGGGAGGATGTATTTGGATCTGCCAAAGTTACTTGAGAATTTATTTTTGTGTTGATGCAAGCACATACGACCATAGGGTGTGGAGAACAGGGCTTCCCGTCCGCTCAGCCGTACTTAAGCCACACGCCGGCTAGTTAGTAGTATGGTGGGTGACCACATGCGAATCCTGGCTGTTGTATGTTTTTGTTTTTTTATCTTCTTTGATCATCCATCCATTCATTCGTGTCTTGTTCGGAAATAGATATGTCAATACTGGTGTGCGAGTTCTAGGGATAGACGGGGCTGTTACCAAAGGGAAATCAATTATTTTATTTATAGTCTATGTGTAGTTCCCCCCTCTGAAGCAGTAATATTGCTCCGCTTAGAGGTGATATTGACGCGGGTTGTCAACCGAAATCCCCATCCGTTGCCACATGCCCTCTACATTCATGTCCTCTTGACCACTGTGCACCATGTTAGGCTTTTGTTCATATCAAATCTGAAGGCAAATGGGTAACTCACTCGTTCTTCTCATTGATCCAAGGCTCGGTTTGACCCTCTGCAGTATTCGGGTTACGGAATATCATGTTGTATTTCTTAATTTGCGCCATTCAGGTTAGCTTTCGTCCATTGTGTATTTCGCTAGTATTCAATCCAACTTACCATGCCTAGGGTAATGTGGATAGCTCCAGGTCCCTTGACAAACTTCTCTTCTGGATTCTTCCCCTCGATCAAGGCTTGGATATTTTTTGCAACCACAGCAGCTTGGGCTGCGCCAGGTCGCGCTGCTTTCTGTGCCCCCGTATCGGCAATATCTCCAACAGCGAACATGTTCGAGTACTTCTCATCGAGGAACTGCATCGTCGGTCGAACTCGAATGAATCCATTATCTTGGTTGACTACGGAGAGACCCTCGGGTGTGGAAGGTTCCAAATCCGCGACCAATTTGTTGTTGGGGGTTTGCCCAGTCGCCAAAATGACAAACTCGGTAGATTCCGTCGTGCCGTTCGTCAGCTGCACGTCGAAAGTGCTTCCATCATTGGGGAAGCCCCCATCAGGAATCTTCACACGAGATCCAGTGATGAGTCGAATTCCCAATTCGTCAAAGCGCTTCTGAATGATCTCATGCAGTCGAGGGTGGAAGCTCGGCATGACCCGAGGCCGTGACTGAATAACCGTCACCTCCTTGTCCGGATAATACTCTTTGAGGTCAGTGGCCATTTGTACACCAACTGCACCACCTCCAACAATCAAAATGGATTTTGACCGCTTGACATCAGCTTGGTGCTTTTGCAGGTACTCGACGGATGACAGCTTGTCATCATGTTCCATGGCAGCGGGCTTTGAGAGCTGCGTCCCTGTCGCAACTACGACATAGTCGAATGGGATCTGGCTCGAGCCTTGCCACTCGCGATCAAGCTCTATGTGCTCTGGTCGGATGGATGTGACACGCGCTTGGACCACGGCATGATCAGCTGGGTTCGTTGCGTTTGCGAAGAGTCCGTTGTATGGAATGAATGCTTTGTGTTCTTGGCCAGGAACGACGGCAAAACGAGGCTACATGGAATTATTAGTAAGATTGGTTCCTTCGCGGACTGTTCTTTGGCTTTAGATACTCACGAATGTGAAAAGATGGTGGAAATGGCTATGAGGCTCTGTCAGGAGGATCTATTCGTCGTAATTAGTACTGCGGAAGAGTCTGGAGAGTCTGGAGGATGAAGCCTGTCAAACATACCCTGTGAGTTGGTGGAATGATCTTTGCAAGCTCTTGAGCTGTTGACTAAACGATTGTTAGCTAAACAGTCATACTTGTAACAACCCCGTGGATAAACTCACCCGCCCCACGAAGGAGCCTCCAACGACGATGATATTGCGAAGCGAAGTACCGGCCATGTTTGAGATGATTGTACTGGAAATGGATCAAGAGGAATTGGTAAAGATCAATTCTGTGGGGGACTTGTCGCGCTTTATAAACACGAGCGTTCGGCAACCCATTCGGAGCTGTTTTTAGCTTTTTAGTCTTTTTAGTTTGGCGCCTTTGGGGCTTATCTGATTAACTCCGACGGATCCTTCCATTTTCAGGCAAATGCCGAGTTCCGGACAAGTTTACATCCGCTGCGGTTGTCACTGCGAGCCGATGGCGCCACCTTAGAGACTCCTTTTATGTACTACTTGCCTTGGATCTTTGAGGATTTACCGCGGCAATTTACACCTAGATCTGATGCTTCTTGCCGCGCTTCTAGAGAGGTACCCAGAAATCCGGGGACTCATTGAACAAAGAAAGGGAAGTTGCTATATGCACTCTACACACAGCACTTCCCCAGGGTCGGCCCCACCACAATTGGAAAAGGACCACGCTACCCCAGATCATTCTGGTGGGAGTTTCCCCGTAAATTCAATAATCAATCTTGCAGTGGCTCCGTCTGCGAACATTATTCATGCATGAACCCCGGTCATGTTTCGGCATGTGGTGGGGGATATGAAGTGATCGGTGCCTTGACGGAGAATCAGTCGGTCGGATTCGGGTAGTATATAGCCCTTTTCGTTATAGATGGGGATAACCTCTTCCACTTCCGCCACTAGAAAATTAGAGATACTCGTAATCTTCCCGTCTTAGTATAGATCATTTGTGCTTTTAAGTATATCATCTAGGGGGACCCTCCGGTCAGGTACGTAGATATAGTAGATTTCAACCTATAGATTAGATTAATAAGGTTGTAGGCCTACGCGTTAAGAATTTTGTGACGGGGTACCTAGTCGGTCTGGAGTTTAAGCAGACTGTCTGCCGCGGAAGCTAGAAGGGTGCCCTTAGTGCTTGGCTGGGGAAGAAATCCATCAGGGTACTTAGTGCCGATGGCTAGACATTGACATCTCCCACGGGACTCCCACCGTGGGACCTGGGACTTCCCGCCGTGGACGGGAGTTAGGACTAAGCTTTAGTCCCATGGGCGGGACTAGAAGGGCCGTGGGACTCCTATAGGAGTATAGGACTTCCCACGGGACTGTAAACAGTGCAAACAGTTAAAATCCTACCACTTGCATAAATTGTGCGCTTTTCCTAGTATTTTTAAGTATTGCACTTACTATATTACTCTAGATAGCTCTATAGATACTCGATAGAGATTCAATAAAAGATAGGAAATGTAAGTTTATTCGTATGTTACGTCGTAGTCATCTAAATTTCTTAGACGTTTCCTTGCCCTTCTAGGCGTCCGTATTTAACTATAGCCCTCCTTATCCTATAGCAAAGGGGGTAGTTAAGGTTTAGTCTTATCTTCTTCCCTATAGGAATCCACACTCTTTCGTCTCTTTCCTAGAGCTCGCTAGCTACGTTAGGATATAGCGGATAGTGTATAGTGTGACGGGCCAGGGCCCGATGGTAAACCATGTACCATGGCCGTTTTGGACATCGTCTTGGTAGAAGGATCGGAGTAATTCTATCACGAGGTTCTAGAGGATTCCATCGAGACGGGACCAACATTTCTTAAGGACCACGACTGACTCCTGTCTCTTCTTTCTTTTCTCAAGACTAATGTAAACAGCATGTTGGCCTAGTTAGATTGAATTAAGTCTTGCTTTAGCCCTTCACATACATCAGTCTTCCTTCTATATTTTTCAGAAGTATCATTGGTCATTGGAAAGCCCTAGAAGATAGCTATTCCTAGGCACATTGGAATAGTAGAACATTGGAACGCTAACGAAATACTACCGGTTAGCAAACGAAACACTAAGGCATTATGAACTCCGAAGATTAGCAGGCCCTACCCCCCTAGGTGTAGGCCATGATGCAGTAAATGGAACGACGCGCCGACGCCTAAGACGAGCGAATTCGCCAGCTCGAAGACATACTGCTTCGATAAGTAGTAAGTACTTCTACCCACGAAAACGTTACCGAATCGACGGTGGAACTACCATAAACCCCGACCGAAACGGTGGCCTCTAGTACCCGAAGGCCTAAGGCTAGACTCCCTAATCCACCACTCTTTGCTAGGAGCGTTAACGACTAGCTAACTTAGCGGATCATAATAGAAAATAAGCTTACCGTCGATAGCGAAGCGATTGGATCGAGGCAGGATTAGTTTATATATGTCTTTTCGCGCCTCGAGAAGCTCGTATAGAAGAACACCGGAACATACGTGAAACACTCGCGAGACACTACCGGTCCGGACGACCTGCTCGCGTACCTCGAAGGTATATATAGAGACCCGAACGCGCAATCACGGGCCGTAAGAAGGGTCTACTAGATTAAGCAGACGAACGGTCAGCCGTTTAACTAGTTCCTACCGAAGCTCGAGAAGGAATTCGTAGACGCTAGAGCTATTAACTAGCTAGACGAGGCTCGGCGGTAGATCTTACTAGGCGTATTAAATAAAGAAATAAGCGCGGCGCTAATAAATCGCGGTGTTCCCGCTACCTATTCGGGGCTAGTTAGCCGCCTACACGAAATCACCACCGACATAGACGCTTTAAACCTAAGTAAGAATAGAAATAATAAATCATCCCGTCGCCGACAGAAGGACCCGGACCCGGATATAATAGATTAGATCCCTACTATTAGCGCTAACCGCGTTAACCATCGAGAGAATCGTTCCCGAAAAGGTATCGATAAGCGGGCGAAATAGGCTAGTCATGAAGAGATAACCCGACGTCGTGAGGAAGACCTTTACCTCCGTTATAGAAGTAATAACTATTATATTACAGAATATTCCTATCGACCCGCCGAACGCCCGAGCTCTAGCCGCGTCGCCGCCGGACAGACGAAGGAGGACCGAAAAGGTATCGTTTCTACGGCGAAACGAAGTCGAGTAAAGAAAGTATACCTAGCGATTAAGGATAGCGAGAGTGATTCTATAGGAGACGAGACCGAATCCCCTTCGGTTATTAGGAACGAGTCGGAAAACGAATAGCTCCTGTTCTTAGTCGCGAGTAGGAGTAGGAGGGGGTTAAGAGACTATTAGAAAACGAATCACCGCCGTTTCTCCTAGATATCAGAGTGAATGGAATTCAGTTTACAAAAGCCCTAGTCGACTAAGGCTATCAGAGTTATGTAACTATAAACGGTACACTCGTTAAATCTCATAATCTCCCGCGTATTCGAATTCGTATACGTGTGCTTAACGGAGTAGTAGCGAATTAGGGACGAATTACCCACGTTACGCATTTCGACGCCGATATTTATAGTCACTAACAGAACCGCGTATTCGTATATATTATCGAGTCTAGAAGGCGAATCGAGCCCGAAACCAGTTCGTTAGATCAACATAAAAATAACATCATTCGATAGAGATAATCTTCAGGATTCTTATGGTACTATTATCTTTCCAATCGAAGCTTTGTAGATGACGTGGGAGCTGTCTAAAGTTGGCAAGATCGAGCTTGCCGTTGGACTCCCGCAGGGGCGGCAGAATATATATCGCTTCCGTTACATTTTCTGGCCTAATCGGGATAACAGTCACAACTCCCCTTTTTCTCGACAACCACGTAGTAAAGTGCTATATAAATTTCAAATCTGTATCATAGAGCGAGTAAGTACCTTGTGTCAAATTTTTGTTAAATAATAATTCTTCATTGTGGAAATGTACGGTCGCCCTGGCCGCAGAACCACTCCCGTTACAATTTCTGGCCTAATCGGGAAGCTAATCCCAAACCCCTGTTTTCTCACTAACTATATGTTAGGAGGCTCTGAAACTTCTCATTCATAATAACAGATGCAGGCAGCACTCAGTAATAAGTTTTAGTACAGAAATACTTATTTTTGGTGGAGATATAAGGGGCTTAAAGAACGCCCCCTGGCCCTACTCGCGATCTAGGGTTTAAGTTTTCTCTACCGCCTTGGCTGAGGGACAGGCACGGGTATGTACTATGCCATTTAACTTAATTTCGACCCACTCGATCTAGTTAAGCCCTATAGGGCCTACCCTCCCGCGTAATAAGTCTCCAGGATCTCTATTTATCCTTTATCGCTGAGCCAACGCCCTTGTAACCGACTTAATCCGATCTCGGCCGAGCGTGATCTGGCCGAACTCTGTTGGGAGTTGGATTCTATGTCTATGCTTCGATTAGTGTCGGCCACGATCACTGGCCGCGGAATAAACGTACCGTAGTATGTATTGCTTGATGTTCCGCACTTTGTCTTTCAGGTCTACCTGGGTACGGAGCTGTAATATAGGTCTTATAGTATTCTTATCCTCTGCCTTAATCTACGCCTAGGAATTTCCGTGGACGTATCATAGCCGTATCAGGGCCGCAATCTCCTCACGGGACTATAGTACCCGCTCCCGTCGTCGCTTCTTTAGATCCGGCGGCTTTAGGCGACTATTAGATAGTTGTCGGACACACTCGTCGATTAGCTCATCCTCTCTCTTGAGATTCGCCTGTAAGACCGGTGCCGTAAATCTTGTACGGGGCTACGGCCGTCGGCTGGTTGGCGCTTTATCCCTTAATAGCTCCCTATATCGTGTCCTTAAGTTATTTACGTCGAATCCGGGGATTGTAGATCGGACGCTTAGCTACGTTATATCGGTTGGTGCTAGTGAAGCCCGCTCGGATTCTCTCGACGGTCTGCTTGTTGCCGATGATCCCTTATCTATTACCGAGGCCTAGTCTATACTGCGCTCTGACCGGGCGGCGGTAGTTAGATCGGCTGGGACGCTAGATCTCTATCGGGGCCGACTACTACTTATCGTCGACCTGTTATTAGGGCGCCCGCGAGATTCTCTCGGCGTCCTCTTAGTGAGATACATAAATCGAGGATCTGTTGATATGAGCGATGAAGATCTCCTTGACCCTCTATGCGATCGTGAGACAGGTGCCTGACTTAGGTGGGCCACTTCAGCCGTCGCGATCTATTCCTGTATCCGTGTATGTCTATCCGCAGTGAGTATATCCCCCTTGTCGTATAACGCCCTAAAATTGGCTGTCGACCTTGGGGCCGGGCTTTTTGACTGCATAAGCCTCTCGACTGGATGAGGAGGGGGAGGTATTCGTCCCACGTTCGTGAGATCTACTACCTCGATCTGGTTTGCCTTAGCGGGCAAGCTTTTACTAGAGATATTATCCGTAGGGTTTCCTTTATCCGCTATATTCACTCCTGACCGAGTGCTGGCCTTTGGACCGATTAGACTATATCGCGGCGTACGACTAATCGGGGTAGGCGCTATAGGCGTAGACGCAGCAGGACTATCGTCTTCGTCGGACTCTGAGGTTTCCGCGCCTCGGAGCTATAGCGGAACGTCACTGTCTTCGCTGCTTTTATCGGTCGGATCTAGTATCCGGTAACGTATTAGACCTGATTATCTCGCTAGAGGAGTTGAACCTACTAGGCGAGCGAGTACGCTTCTCCCCGCGCTGCTCTACGGTGCTAAGTGCCCGTGAGATCGGTGCTATTACTTCTGGTAAACTAATACTGTCGGAAGCGCTCTTAGCAATAGTTGACACACTAGCGGTAAATCTCCTCGGGTTCGATATCGGTTCTCGATTGTAATATTAACGAACTATCGGGTTAGAAAACGATGTAGAAGCGAGTCGACGCTATCTATCCAACCGCTAAGCCCTAACAGTCCTTGAGGTCAAACCCCGCTACTTTAGGGGCTTTCCTACACGAGGGCGCTCTGGCGCTACTCTGACTTGCTCGTGAGCCGTCGAGGGGTCCACATCTAAATACGATATATCGCATTTAAAGAGGCACCCGTCTATTCCGTATAATAGCGGTAATTACTCTCGCCTAGACTTCTATCTGTTACTAGTTACTTTCTATTATTATATAATAGTAGTTCCTGTTAGTTTAGGCTTCTATAATGGCCCGGCCTAACCGATCTACTAAGTATACCACTCAACGAGCAGCCACACGAGCACGGGTAGCTCGGCTTCGGAGTCGTAGGCGCTAGGCAGAGGCCACCGAGACCCTAGATACGTTCTTGAATATCTTTCTCAACCACGATCCCCGGGCGATGCCAGCGCCTCTACTCGAGAACCATAGTGTAGCCACTCAATTTAACGACCTGCATAATGCCCTTTACGCTATCCCTCCGGTATATAACGAGGAACCTGATCGGTCCGAGGGTCTCGGTAGCGCTACTTCGATAGGGGTATCCGGGGGGCCTCTGGACCTAGATCCTACTGGTTGGTGATTGACGATAGAAGGACGTCTATCACTCCGTAGAATTATTCACTGACGACTATGTTCTCTACTAGAGCCGGAGTTTTTCGTCCCCGAACCTAGCCCATTGAACGACGACGAACCACCTGGAGATTCCCAGGAGCCTACAGCAAATCCTGCTCCTAGTCCTACGGCAGATTACCCTGACTTTGCTACCGCGCCGGTCGCATTAGGAAGCCTCCCACCAGACACCTTGGCTGCCGCTCTTATCGATCAACTCGTGACGTATTATGGCTGCGATACTGGCTCGTATCAGATATTAACCCCTACGGGTCCAACCTAAATAGTTAGCCTGTTAACTATGACTGGCTGGGCGGCTCCAGACTTACTCTAGCCGCCTGCGAATGGACAGATTGCTTAGCATCCGACTGCATGGGACTCTCTTTTCCCCCTAGCCGAGCGTCGTAAGATCTTCACTGGCTTACGTTCCGTTGGAGAGGAGTAAGCCCTCTAGCCGCCTACTATCGACCTAGAATCGGATACGGTCCCCGACGATGGGAGTCTTCGTGTTGCGCTTGATATCGATAGTGCTGGCGGGTTTGCGTCGAGCTTGGTAGTCGCGCGCGAAGGCCTTCACTAGAAAGCCGCCCGTCCCTAAGTGAGCAACCTCTAAAGCTCCCTCCACGTAGACCCGATTCGGGTGTAGTGGTTCGCGGCGAACGGCCGGCTTCGGCGTCGGCAACAGCCTCTCTATCGCGTCCCCTATCTTCCACTCGGTCGTCTTGCGGGTTTCTCGGACGTTGAAGTCTATCTCCTCTTCCCCCGCCTCTTTCATCCTGACCTCGACTATTTCGTGATCCCTAAGGCAGACTGGCAGGTTTAGACGGACGAGATCTTCTTGCCCGCTGTCTATACGGTCTATCCCTCGTCGGCCACGCAGCACTTCCCGTCTAGTGCCGAGTATATTAAGCGAACCGTCCTCGCTCGTAGCCGAGAAACTCGCACAGGCGCTACGTCCGAGCCGTCTTATACGCAGGACTTACATTACCGGCTTTAGCCTAGTGGTCTGGCTACGTTATGGACCGAGATCTAACGTCGGGTCTCCCACGATAGCTATTCGCATTTTCTAGATACTTAGATCATCCTGATAGCCAAAAATCTTAAGACCGCTACCCAGCGGTCCACTTAGGCCGGTGCCCGGGATATATTCCTCCGTGATTGGACTCGGGGCGTCGACCTAGCGTATCTCCAGCAGGACTTTTACGATCTTACTAAAGAGGTCATCTCCCACCGTAGCTCCTTCTACTCTTATCCCTCTAATAATCTCCCTCTGACCCTATACTAGCGCCAGTGCTACCTCGATCGATTTTCTTAGTGGGTTACTACTAGTGACGCGGCTATCCTACCACCTCACGACGTACTAACCTCCGAGGATAACTCGGGTAAGAGCTTATCTAGGGACTCTACTTCCTCCGCCGAACGACCCCCTACAGTACCTTCCTACCGTCCTCCACCCGGGTAGTATATCGAGCACTACCCCTAGTCCCTCGTACGGGATCACGATTCTCTCACCATCGCACCCGCTAAGTCTAGTCCGATCTAGAAGCGCGGCCTTCGATACATCTAGTTCTATAATACGTCAAAGGAGATCTTCGCCGCTAGGAACCACTACCCGTTTACCCACTAAGGCTTAGATATCCTTACCCTCGATCCAGGTATAGTACGGTCCTGGTAGTATATTAGCGGGGCCGTTAGCTACTCTCCACTAATAGTACTCCGGGCTTACCTCTATACGAAGCTCCGGTGCTATACCGCTCTCGAAGGCTATCGGTTCTAGTCCTACGGGACCCGCGAGGAATACAGAGTGACCGGGGCCGTTTTTAAAGCTATAGACGCTATCTGGCGTGTACGCGAAACGGCCGATATGCCGCTTATCCTGCCTAGTACCTCCCGGCCCTTCTTTGTGTATCCGACGCCCGTGATGATAGACTGGTAGCGCTAGAATATTAATAAGCTCTGTCTAGGATTTGAGTTGATATATAGTATATAGCCGCGGAACTTTGTCTATTAGGAGCATAGCCAGGTGATAATAATATTCCTCCGGTGTCTCTCCTGTACGTACGGCGGCTAGGGCGCCTATCTCCGCTGTAGTGTAGGACTCTAGATCGATCGCCGTACCCGTCGCCCCCGTGATAGCTCCGATATAGAGCGGGTGTAGGAGGGCATGGCGCTTGGCGTGTATCTTAATCGTACCGGCTACGCCTGGATGGCCGATAAGATCGATTGGGCGGCGATAATCTTCCTACCTACCCACCGTCTATACCTTGTGTTTAACACGCCTAGTCTCCAATCTACCTATCACGCGCGGTACTAGTAGATCGTCCGCGCCCGGGAGGACTTTATCCTTTTCCATAACATCTTTAGTCGCCTCTAAGAGCACCGGGCTAACGTAGGGCGATCTCGACTCCTGCTCTAGCTGCTGGTAGACCTCTGCCTACGTGCGTTCCGTAAAGACGTCTATTACGTCCTAGTAGACCGTCGGACGAAGTAACCGCTCCGGCCTGAGTATATTTAGGCCGCCTGTGTAGGCGATATTCCTCTTACCGGAGCCGGCTTATACTCGGTCTTTGAGTATAGGACGCTAAGTGACGACCTTCACTCGGTATTAGGGTAGTATATCAAGATAGCCTATATCGACGGGCTCTTTATCTAGCTCTGGGGATGGGATAGGGATAGGAACCACGGTGATATACCCCGGAAGTATTAGAACGACCGGCCCTTCCGCGTGCTCTTTCGGTAGTACTACGGAGTCGTAGTATAGATATATAGCATTTATTAGGCACGGGTATAGCGTCTGCGGCTTAAGGAGACCTAGTTACGGAGCTATTAGGTTCTTCCCTACCCTAGTAATAAGAAGTTCTAGTCGTTAGGGATAAAGTAGGGACAGGGAAAGCTCTAAGTCTAGTTAAGTATCTATCTCTAGGTCGTCCAGTACTATCGATAGACTTAGCGGACCGGTAATATTAAAGTACCCCCCGACGATATCGATTCGCTCCCCGTCTCTAGATAGGAGCCGACCGTAAGCCCTAGTCCTCTTACCGTCTTCGTTCCCCCGGTGCCTACCGACCTAGATCGCTAGTTAGCGGTTATTCATAAGACGGTGCCTTTACGCGCGGGCGATATTCCTCTACCTACTAGTGGTATCCGATCCAGGCCGATTAGCTAGTTCGTCCGCTAGATAGCCCCAGAGCGACGGTATCTACGTTCATTCTAGCGCGAGCGCGAGATCTCGGAGGCTACGCTCCACCGAAACCCCGAGTAGCTTTAGGAGTACCTTATAAACTATCTACGAGCCATTATAGACACGCAACGAGCCAAAGTAACGGCGCTATAACGCCCGCTCGTCTCGGCGCAGTAGTAGCATCGTCCACGGCCGCGCTTAGATTCTAGCCTAGCCCCGCTCAATATACGCCTATAGCAGCTTAAGGATAAGGATTTAGACCGCGAGAACCTCCGTGCCCGTCGTGATCGGCTCTGCCGTCGACTTCGAACGAAGGAGAAAGGCCTCTAACGGGCGCGCTATAAGACTACCCGGAAGCGCGAGTGTGAGGAGCTTAACCGTCGTATCCGGCAAGAGCTTCGCCGTGGCCTATTAACGGGAGAGTAACGGTAGCAGGCCTAGCAGGACTTTACACGCGCTCGAATCCGCTACCGCCTAGCTTATAAACGACTCACTTATATATCGCGAACGGTAATTAAGCCGTGACGTAGTATATCCTCCCTAGTTCTTACCGATCCTACCATATAAGTGTATAAGTCCTACTATTATATTCTCGTTTATAGTCACTATATATAGCGAATACTCTTCACTATTATAATCGAGCCGATTACTCTCTAAGTTTAAATGTTTCCATAGTAAAAATATATAGGGCCCTTAATATCTTATGGTTTTACCGATAGATAATGAATACTATAATCTATTCGTCTTAGTACTTATTATTCGATCGACCTGTTTGTCTGATTGGTCGGTCTGAGGTCTCGGACACACGGGGTAATATACACTAGTCGGCTTAGCCCTATTCCCCGGGACTCCTATTTCCCACCTTTAATCGATTCTTACTCTGTTAAATGCGACCGCTATCACAATAGCCCCCCTTACGGCTGATGAGATCTTCTCTTTCTCCGAGGCGCTTCGGGTCATCGTCTATAGGCCCTATAGCGGGGTAGTGGTGGATAAGCAGCTCGATCCTCACCGCCGCCGGCACTACTCCGATTTAAAACCTACGGAGGCGAGAGTATTTTTCGAACGATTTAGCACACGATGCCGGTCCCTCCGGGATGTAATCAGACCATCCGCCGCTATAGCCCCGATCCCTTCGCTACCTATCTATCTAGCCTTCTAGTGCACGTATCCTGACTGCGGCTAGGTCGGCCGTGCTATTAGCCTTAGTGGTCGAGATGCCCGGCGTATCAACGAACACTGCTAGAAAGTATATGGCTGGTAGAACCCGTATCGGGACCCCGAGAGGGCCTAGGAAGCCAGACCCTACCGCAAGGTTGTAGCGCAGCAGCTCGTCCACCACGGCCCTGGCTCCTAGTTCTTTATTGTCGATCCCGCCCTTTCTTCCACCACACTGTGCACCACGAGCTTGGATAGGCCTTGTAGCTCGATCCCCGATCCACTTGTCTAGACGTCGAACGTACTTGCTAGCCCGATCCCGAGTGTAGAGCAGATAGGGTTATCTTCTTTGGAGCCTCCCGATAGCGATCCTAACGAGCCTAGTGGGCTACCCGCGGATACTGCTAATCACCCGCTTACAGAGGCTCTCGATCGGTGGTCTAGGGTCTGTCCGTTATGTCGTTGCGGTCAGCGCCGCGGGCCCCCTCATGACTTAACGACGTGTCTAGCGCTAAAGACTCAGTAGGCCACTATCGCACGGGAGGTAAAGCGTATTCGACGGCAGCTCCCTTCCACGAGTAACGATAGTTGTGTCTCCTGTATACTTCCGCTGTGTTTATGCGGGAAATGGGAATGGGACGCTGGTAGGGCTCGGTGGAAGCGGCGTCCTGGAACGGCAGGGCTGCGATGTCGTTAGCCGGGACTCGTCCTCTAGGTGGTTGTGAGTATTATGGCGGTATATTCGAACATCCGCAAAACATATATTCTTCCGTACCTGCGAGACCACGGTCTGGATGTGACGGATAGTAAGGAGGTTCGAAGCTGGTTTGGATAGGAGGTGACGGTAAATGGGGTTGGTGCTCTCTAGGTGACGCATTTATTTTATGCGATCGATAGGACGATCGTGAGTGACTCGCGGTTGCGTGAGGAATTCCAATTCGATCAACCGTTAAAGGATGTCGATAATGTTGAAGTTAGCGACTCGGAATAGACAGCACGGCGGAGTTTATATCTAGATATACTCTAAATATATATTTCTACCACTACCGACGGACGAAATATAACAAGAGGGGCTAGGGGTGGTATGACTGACCTTCTTGCTTAAGGACAAAATAGAATTAATAATGACTCTAGAGAGGGTTAAATGTAGTGAGAATATAGTCCTCCTTAGCCGGCGAAAAGTAGTCTTGGGGGTAGTCCTGGGGGTAGTCCTGGGGGTAGTCTCGGGGGTAGTCCTGGGGGTAGTCCTGGGGGTAGTCCTGGGGTGAGTCTCGGGGGGTAGTCTCGGGGGTGAGTCTCGGGGGTGAGTCCTGGGGGTAGTCTTGGGGGTAGTCTCGGGGGTGAGTCTCGGGGGTAGTCCTGGGGGTGAGTCCTGGGGGTGAGTCCTGGAGCTCTAGGCCTTACTACCGCTTGATAGGCTAATAGGTAGAACGCGG